CCCAGGGCAATGCATTGTTCACAGTTTTTAGGGTCTGACACGTCTTGCTAGACCAGTTTCCTCCTCAATCTGGAAAAAATATACTCGGTGAGCATTAAAAAAATTTTTTTTAAAGATTTGTTCACTAGCACGATTCTCTAATAGAAGAAAATACTGCCTCTTACAATGTATACATTATTCCATGAAAAAGTGTACACAAGGAAAGTCCATATAATATACCACAGGTCACAGATCTTTAAGACAGGAACAATCAACCCGATGATTTCACTCACATACACACCAGGCATAAAACATAGCAACATCAAGTAATATGGGAATAAAAATCACATTCATATTTTCTTGTCAGAAGACTTCAAATGATTTCAATATAAAGAATAGTCTAAGTTAATGGTACATATGGAAACATCAATTCTTTTGATATATTCAAGTATACAAATATTACCTAACTACATTTGAATTTTGGAGTATTGCTGGAGACCAATTCCAGCATGACAGTAGGGCTGCAACTGGGAATGGCTGAAGGCATTTCCCCAAACCTGAATAGGATACATTAAATTGATTCGTGGCTGCCAGACAGCCCAGGGCATCTTAATCTATATGTTATTGCCTCTTACTGGCCAAACACCTGAACAGCCATAGGGTAATTCCCCCATTCTGACAACGGACTCTGTAGGAAACACTGACCCTTTGAAGTGTATATCTCTGCCTAATCTCAGGACAAATTGTGTTAATAAAAAACATTGGGGGGGGGGGTCTGTGTGTGGCCTCCCTGGAGCCTTGCCTCCTCCTCCTCTTTGTCTCCCAGGTGTCCCTGGTGATGGCACAGGAAGGCCAGATTGCAGGACCACACATTTTTATTTTGTTTCCCTATTCAACATTTTTGACACTGTGCTAATAGTTATATTCAGTACTGAAAGCTTTTAAGGAATTTTTGACAGTAGTTTTGAACAAAACATTTTTTTGAAAAAAATACTTGTTAACTTATTCTATTTTAATTTGCCAAAGTCAAGAAAGAGTTAAGAAATAAAAAAAGAAAAGAAAATGACAAGCCTCACTGCATGGCCCAAGTGACTGTGCAAGCCCAATGGGGACTAAGCCCATTACCGGGCATGCACACTTCAGCCCAGTCCATTGCAGTGCATGTGCCCTGCTGCCAGCGTTCTGCGGGGAGAAGGGAGGAGAGGCGGCCGTTTTACTCCATCACCACGGTTATCCCATTGAGACTGAACTGTGGGAAATATGATTTGGCGTTTAAGAGCAACTTCCTTCTGGAAAGGAATCCTAGGAGAAGATGAAGAGTCTCCCCAGGCAGTTGAACCCGCGGTTAATGATGTTCTTATAGCAAAAGTACAACCTTCATCTTCAAAATCTATACGTCTGCTTAAAGAAAAGACACCTCATCAGCATTTAGCAGTGGAAGCACTTCTAAAGGAATGTGAAGAACAAAGAATGCAGCACAGAAGTGGGAACAACAAACAGTAAGACTCAGAACATATATGGAAACGAATAGGATAGAAATCTGTGAAGCAGACAAGTAGAAAAAGAAGACTGATGAAAGAGCAAGACGGGATGTAGCAGACACCGGAGAACAAATCAATTCCTTTTTACAGATACAAAGAGCATCTCAAGAAATGTCAGCGCAGATGATAAATTATCAGGCTTCAATAAGAAGTCCTTTGGAAGCCAGAAATAAAGAGCTGGAATCAGAAATCTCCAAAGTGCAAACTTCTCAAGATGGTATCAAAAGAGAATAGGAAAAATATGTGCGACTCTGCCAAGAAGAAATGGAACGCAGAAAGTTATTGGAAAAGAAACTAACTGATTTTCACAGGATGAAGGAGAGGCTAGCAGAGCTTAGCACCAAACTTTTGGAGAAACAGATGAATAGACTATTGCTCAGCAAGAGAAATTCTACTACAAGAGAAAACTTGGACAGTGCTACCTCAAGGCCATGCACTTCCACTTACTGCAGGAATGCAGACACCATCTTCAACCAGCATATCCATAACAGCCCCAGTCAGGCTGCCTTTGGATCCCCAGCATTCGAAACCTGGTCACCAGGGGTCAACAGGGGCTCCGGTTTCCTCCTAGACACCACCTCTTCCCCTGGAAGGCCTCTGCTCCAGATGTGGCAGGAGCATTGAGAAACCCTAATTAGAGAACTAAAAGAAGATGCTACAAAATTATCTCTTGTTATGGCATTCACTTTGAGGTCTACTTTGTCAGATATAAGTATTGCTACTCCAGCTTTTTATTCATTTCCATTTGCCTGAAAGATATTTTTCCATCCCTTCACTCTCAATCTGTGTGAGTCCCTTATTCTGAGGTGGGTCTCTTGAAGACAGCAAATATATGGGTCATGTTTTTTGATCCATTTAGCCACACAATGTCTTTTGACTGGAGCATTTAGTCCATTTATGTTTAAAGTTATTATTAAGAGGTACTTGTTTGTAGCCATTTCTAATATTTGTGACTGTTTTCTTTCTTAGCTTTTTATTTCTTCTTTTTACACCAGTCCATTTAGCATTTCTTGCATTGCCGGCTTGGTGGTGATAAACTCCCTTAGCCTTTTTTTGTCTGTGAAGCTTCTTATTTCCCCTTCAATTTTGAATGATAGCCTTGCTTGATAGAGTATTCTTGGATTCAGTCCTTTACTTTGCATCACTTTGTAAATTGCCGTCCATTCTTTTCTGGCCTGATGTGTTTCTGTTGAGAAATCATTTGATAATCTCCTGGGAGATCCCTTGTATGTAACTTTCCGTCTCTCTCTTGCAGCCTGGAAGATTCTCTCTTTGTCTTGAACATTTGCCATGGTAATTATGATGTGTCTTGGTGTGGGTCTTTTCGGGTTCACCTTGTTTGGGACTCTCTGGGCTTGTGTGAGTTTTTTCTTCCCCACCTCAGGGAAGTTTTCAGATATTATTTCTTCAAATAGGTTTTCGAATCCTTCTTCCTCTTTCTGTTGCTTTGGCACCCCTATTATTCGTATTTTGTTTCGTTTCATGTTGTCCCAAAGCTCCCTTATGCTCTCCTCCTGTCTTTTAATTTTTTTCTCCAATTGCAGTACAGTTTAGGTGTGTTCGCTCCCTTGTCTTCTAATTCACTAATTCGGTCCTCTGCTTCTCCTAGTCTACTGTTGATACTTTCAATGGTATTTTTTATTGCAGCTATATCGCTCATCATTTCTTCTTGGGTCTTACGTAAGTTGTTGATTTTCCCCACCATCCGGTTTATGCACTCTAGAACCCTTATTCTGAATTCTTTTTCTGTCATGTTGCATGCCGCTGTATCGCTTAGCTGCTTTTCTGACGAGCCCTCCTTTTCTTTCCTTTGGCAATTTCTTTGTCTGCCCATGTTTGATCTCACCGACATATCTAGATGTTGAGTCGTTCAGTGGCTGTTCCCTGGACGGCAGTGGCTCCTCGGGCTGTGGTTGCTCCCCAAGCAGTTGCGGTAGCAGCTGCTCCTCAGTTGGCAGAAGCTCCTGTGGTGGGTGCTGTTCACCGCTGTGGTGGCTCCTCTGGCTGGTGGGGGGAGGCTTCACACACAGCTGCTGTTTCTCAGACCTACATTTACTTTTTACAATATTGTATTGATTTCAGAGGAAGGGAGAAAGACTGACTCCTGCATGCCCCCTATTGGGGATTTAAGGGGAATCCCGGCATGAGCCCTGAAGAGGAATCCAACCCTACTTCTTGGTTCTAAGGTCAATGCTCATCAACTAAGTAACACAAGCTGGGCCAGAAATATTACTTCTTACAATTATAACCTATTTTGTTGCCCCCTTCCCCGCCAAATCCCCTATTTTTTGTTTTCTTTTCTCTTTCTCAATGATCTGTCATGTATGGATAACAAACCTGTCAAATATATACACTGAAGATGTTATTGGGATATATTTTTAGCTTAAGAATCATTAATTCTGGCCTTAGGCGGTGTCACTCAGCAGATATATCATTGGCTCATGGGCTGAAAGTCCTGGCTTTGCTTCCGGTAAAGGGGACGTACCTACCTTTCAGGCTGGACCCCTAGCCTGTGCAGTAGGCTACCAATCTAGGTGTCTCTCTCACACTGATGTTTCTCTCTCTGTCTGTCCCTTTCCTTTCACTTTCTCTAAAATTTACTGGGAAAATAGCCTCAGGTGAGGATTCACAACAACAAAAAGATTCATTAATGTTGTCCTGGCCAAGGAGTAACTTTGCTAGTTGGAGCGCCCTCTCAATGTGCCAGGATTGCGAGTTTGAGCCCAGATTGGGGCACATAAAGCAAAATATTCCCCCAATTCTGATGTCAGTCATTGCATTATAAATTCCAAACTGCTGGGTGGAAGTTACAGAGGTTTGAATGGCTGATGTGGGACAGGAAGAGCTTTACATGCTGTGGTCATAGCACTGCAAAAAGAATGGCAGCCTAGAAGACAAAGTGAAAAACCAGAGAGGAACAGGAAATGGAAAATGAAAGATATAATTATTTTTCTGAGTTCAGCCAGCAGTTCAGTCTGGGAAACGTTTCCTCTCTCCCCTGCAGAGTTCATGCCAATTCTGCATCCTGGGTACAACAATGTCACTGCTACTGCAATATTCCTCTCAATTATGGAAAATATATTACACAGACAGCACTCTCCTGAGTGTAGTTCCAGTTACCTACATGTGACAACCACAAATGGACATGCCCTCAAAAAGTTTTCAGCTGAACCCATTGGCACAGAAAAAAAAGTGACTTTGATGGCATCATTTACAAAACTCGAAACTATTTTAAAAGATTTATTCAGCCGAAACCGGTTTGGCTCAGTGGATAGAGCGTCAGCCTGAGGACTGAAAGGTCCCAGGTTCGATTCTGGTCAAGGGCATGTACCTGGGTTGTGGGCACATCCCCAATAGAAGATGTGCAGGAGGCAGCTGATTGATGTTTCTCTCTCATCGATGTTTCTAGCTCTGTATCTCTCTCCCTTCCTCTCTGTAAAAAATCAATAAAATATATATTTTTTAAAAAAGATTTTTTCGGTGCTCCTTCGGCAGCACATATACTAAAATTGGAACGATACAGAGAAGGTTAGCGTTGCCCCTGCGCACGCGAGTTTGTGAAGCTGTTCCTTAAAAAAGAAAAAGATTTATTCAATAGTAATATTCTCTAATAGAATAAAATAGTCATCTTACAATGTATCCATTATTTCATGGGGAAGTGTACACAAGTGAAGTCCATATAACACACAACAGCTCACAGATCTTTGATTTTTAAGACAGAAACAATCAACTCCATGATCTCACTCACACATACACCAAGTATAAAACATAGCAGCATCAAGAGATATGGGAATAGAATCACATTTTTTCCTTTCAAATTAAAAGGCTTTCATTAAGTATATATTGTCAAAGCAATTCCTTTTATATCTTACCAGTATTATTTCAGAGAATAAATCTTGTATTCCAGGCTTTGGCATAAAGGCATAGTTACCTTTAGATGATAGAGCTGAAAGAAAACAAATATTTAGGTTTTGACAATCAAGTGAGTGAACTTTGAACTTACCAGCAAGTAGTGACTGAATGACATTTTGGAGTACTACAAGAGCAAGTGAAGAATTCAAAGAAAGCTCAAGACAGGTACAATGAAGAAAACTCACATCAAAGACGAACAAATAGTTGCTTACATTTACCAATGATACCTGCTCAAACACTTTGGCAATATTATACAAACACTCCCAATTCCAAGTTTCTTCGCTGGAGAGAGAGAGAAAAAAATGAGAGATGTACATGTTCAATGATCTCCCTGTTTTGAAGCACCTTGAAGAACATGTGTCTGTTGTGCATTACACAGAGTTAGAACACAATGGCAGCACATGGAGACTGCCGTGTAGTGGCTGCTGCAAAGAGACAATGAGAAAGTGTTCAAGCACCACAAAGACTGCAGGACTGAAGATGTACATGAACACTGAAAAACTGTCTGAGAAAGAAACAGAGAACATTTCAACTAGGAGATTGAACAGACAACCTAGCCAAGAATACAGATCCTGAAAACAGTGTTGACCGAAAGAATTTGTTCCACAGATAGTTATTATTTGTTTCCTCTTAAAGAAATCATGATCAAAAGCCTGCTACTTTCCAATTCTGGAGTCTCAACAAAAGATACCACGTCATTCAAAAAACAGAAAAAGTGTACCATCAGAAACAGAAAGTACAAGTAACCAAAGGGGCACTACATTAATGGAAACATATTAATTACCTGAAAAAGAAAGGAACTAAATAGCTTAAAGCCCAAATGTAAAAGGAAAAAAGACAACTATATAAGTCACCAAAATATTACATAGAATTTGCCTGGCAGCAGTGGCTCAGTGGTTGAGCTTCGATCTATGAACTAGATGGTCATGGTTTGGTTCCATGTCAGGGCACAGGCCTGGGTTGAAGCCTCGATCCTGATCGTGCAAGAGGCAGCCAATTGATGATTCTCTCTCTTCATTGGTGTTTCCATCTCTCTCTCCCTCTCCCTTCCTCTCTGAAATCAATAAAGATATATTTTAAAAATTAAATTAAATAATCAAAAAATTTGTACATAAATCATTAAAATTTTGATTAAGAAAAGCCAACAAACGTGGAAATGAGAAGAGAACTTAAGGAACTCCTAAGACACTAACAAATCAACCTCCAAGAGGATCCCATAAAGACAAGAGAGTGAAAAGGAGAAGATAGCTTATATAAAAAATTAATCGTTTCAGATTCTGACAATTGCAGAAAGAGACATACAAATGCAAGTAGCTCAATGAAGTCTAAGTAGAATGAATATAAATGTGAGAACAAATAAAAAACAATGAATATGTCATGAATTCCAGAATACTATTTTAAAAGCATGTAAAAAACTAACTTCTATTGGAAAAAACAGCTGCTCTAAGATCATTAGGGGGTTTCTACAAAGGATAATATTGGGGATAAAAAAGGGCATGAAATAAAAAACCATCCAACAACAATAATGACAAAACAGATCATCAACAATGAAGAGGACAAAACTTTTCCGGCTCCAAAACTTTCTCATTATCAGATCTTCTCATTATTAGACCTTCCCTATAAATAACCCTTAAGAAATATACTTCTGCCGAAACCGGTTTGGCTCACTGGATAGAGCGTCGGCCTGAGGACTGAAAGGTCCCAGGTTCGATTCCGGTCAAGAGCATGTACCTGGGTTGTTGGCACATCCCCAGTAGGAGATGTGCAGGAGGCGGCTGATCGATGTTTCTCTTACATCGATGTTTCTAACTCTCTATCTCTCTCCCTTCCTCCCTGTAAAAAAATCAATAAAATATATTTAAAAAAAAAAGAAAAAAAAAAGAAATATACTTCTGGAGGTAATTTAAAATGTCAAAACAACACTAAAATATGAACTTATGAAGATTCCTTGTATGTGGGAAAATATAGATAATATAAAAATGTATGGTGTTCTATAAAAACACACATATCATTTTGAATTCTCTTGTGGACATTTAGAAAATAAAATATTTTAAGTAGTTCCCATAGTCATAATAAAAATATCAAATGAATAACTAAAATGATCCTGTTAACAGGTGACAGAATTCTGTATTGCAAATCACAGATTCTACATTTCTAATAATATATGTATATAATTAATTTCTCCAAACATGGTATATAAAACCAAACAACAAAGTTAGCTATGTTTCTGTACATTAAAGACATTAATACAAAATAATAAATTAAGTATGTGTTTACGTGAATAACAACATAGTGAAAATAAATTAGTCACAGTTTATTTCCTAGGAAGGTGCATGATTTGTATGCTGTCAAGCATAAAATACTGCTGGCTGCCCCCTGCAGTGTGCTCAGGGGTTAGAGCACGGGCCACCCAGCAAATGGTTGCAGGCTGGATCCCAACCCCATTTGTTATATGTGAGGAAGCCAAACAAACAATGTGTCCTCTCACCATCGATATTTTTCTCTCTCTTTCAATCCACCCAACCCCTCCTTCCCACTATCTCTAAAACTCAATGGGAAAAATATAATTGGGTGAGGATTAAGAAAATAAAACATATATGTATTTATATATACACAAACATATACACATTGCTGGCTGTAATTAAAGAAGAAATCACTACGTTGAAAAAAACATTCCATGACCCTACTGTGAAATGTTAATTCCATTAAACACAAATTCCATTTCTGGGGATTTATACAGAGAACACAAATTCAAAAAGATATACCCACACATACATACACTGCAGCACTATTTGCAATCGCAAATATATCGGACTGGAAAACAAAAGACTATTTTTATAATGATGCTCTAAAATCTATATACATAAATGCCTAAGTGGCCGTTATGACCGGTCCACAGCTTGACAGGTTGCTATGACGCACACTGACCACCAGGGGACAGATGCTCAATGCAGGAGCTGATCCCTGGTAGTCAGTGCACTCCCACAGCCAATCTCCTGCGGACGGCCAAACTCCCGCGATCCCTCACCTGAGCTGCTTGGCCCTGGTCGGAACTGGGCAATACAGCGAAGACCAGCTAGGCCAAGGGACCCCACCCCTGGATGAATTTGTGTACCACATCCCTAGTTTAAAATAAATTAAACGACTTCATTTAACTTGACATGTAAGAAAACAAAATTTTTATTTCAATTTATTCCCTTCAAGACATGACTATGTGTTTATTCCAGAAATGACACAATAGCTGCACATATAACTTCTGTGTTATTGAGTATAAAACTACATTAAGGGAGACCAAGATGGCAGCATAAGGTACAGACCTGTGCGTGCTGCCTCCTACAACAGCATTGAAAGTACAGTGGGGCCTTGACTTATGAGTTTAATTTGTTCTGTGACGGAGCTCATTACTCAAATTACTCGTATGTCAAATCACTGTGACGTTTGCTGCACCAACTAGCAGTGGGGTATCTGAAGCTGGCTTATAACCCGAATTTTTTTTTTAAATATAGTCTACGAGTGGCCCGGTGCACAAAAATTTGTGCACTCGGGGGGCATCGCTCAGCCCAGCCTGCCCCCTCTAACAGTCTGGGAGCCCTCACAGGATGTCCTACTGATGTCCCTGTGAGGAGCGGGCCTAAGCCGAAGTCTGGCCTCCCTCTGTGGAAGGCAACTGGCCAATCAGGTATATAGATACTTTCTGAAGGCAGCACAGACTCCTTCCTTATTTCTTTCCTCTGCGGTTGGAGAATAGGGGACTAAAAGGTGGACACAGAACTATGGCCGGGCCTGGGGCTCTTGTAGGCAGCAGAAAGAAGGAGAGGGCTGGGGAAAGTCTAGACATGGTTTTCTTCAATTTTCCTCCCTTCCTCCGGGCCCCTTGCTCTCTTCTCCCCTTGTCGTGGTGGACGCTTGGGCCTTGGACTGACAGGAGCCCAGCGATGGTGGAGTTCAGCCCCCTCACTTCTCAGCTGAACATACAACCACCTCATATTCCAAGTGGAGCTGTTTTCAAGTGGCTACAGTGCTGGCAATTCATGCCTCCCGGCCTTTCCCCTCTCGGGTTTCCTCCTTGGGTCAGTTGCAAACTTCACCGAGACACCGAAGCAACTGGGCCCTGGTACTTCTGCACCGGCCCCTGCCTGGGCCCACACCAGGAGGATCCCAGCTGAGGTCCCCTCCCTGCTCTCAGCGCTCTCCTCCCTGTTCTACCACTAGGGGAAGGGAACAGCTCACCTTCTCTGGATCCTGCCAACCTGGCAGGCTGAGGCACAGGCAAGGAGGTACAGCATAGGGTGCTGGTGGCTGCGAGCCTTCTCCCCCTTCCTGAAGCATGGGGTGGGTTTGCAGCAGCTCACAGCCACCCCTGGGCACCATGCATGGAGATACCACTCTCCACTGAGCCATCGTCTGCCCAGGAACTGTGGGGGTTGGGGTGGCCTCAGGCTCCCACTGGCCCCACTGTAGCCAGACTTGGCTTGGCTGGCCACCACCACTGCTGGAGGGCTGTGCATGTCCCATGGGCCTCATTGCCCTCATGAATCCCTGTGGTCTGGCCATCTCATCCCAGGAAGTGGCCATCCTGATTGCCATAGCTCACTCTCCGGTGCAGTTGCACCTGCCCAGCAAGCATGTAGGCAGGAGCTGGGCCTCTGAGGGGAAGGAGGAGGGATGTGGGCCAGGGC